GGATATTTGAATGTCATTGAGCAATCTTTGCTAGAGAAGCTGTCGGGCAAAGGAATTAAGGCCAAACCACATATTGAGTCACAAATCAAAGTTTTAAAGAGGGATTTTTGCATTTTTCATGACATGCTTAACGGGATTAATACAACTGGATTTGGATTTGATCACGGAAAAAAATGTTTTACAGCAAGCTCTGATGTATGGGAGGGTTACTTACAGGTATCTATAAAACTTACCTTTTCATTTATCATTTCGAGTTATTGCATAGCTTAGATCTTTTCCCTTATTTAACATAATTGTTTCCCTTGTTTGTATTGTAGAGCCACAAGGGAGCAGAAAAGTTTAGGGATAGATCTTTTCCTTTTTATGAGGACTTGTGCATTATATTTGGAAAGGATCGGGCAACTGGTAGAGAGGCACATGGCCCAGTTGATGTGGTGGAGGAGTTAGAGAGTAAAGAAGGAAACATTGAGCATGATATATTCTTACATGGATCAGATGACATGAATACATCCATGTCATCTATGTGACGACCATATGTGCCTGAAGAGGTTGGGAGCACGAGATTGAAGAAAAAAAGTAGGGGTATGGATGAGATGGGAGTTGAAGGGTTGATGAGTGCTGCTTCTCTGATTAGCACAGAGATTAAGGAGGCAACAATTATTTTTGCTCGTGCAATTGGTGTTGATGTCGTAGTACATGATATGAAGAAGAAGATTTACGAAGACTTGTTGTTGCTACCAGACTTTTCCATGAGTGAGAGCCTCGAATGTCTTAGTTTATGATTCTGATTATATGGACTTATTTTTAAGTCTTTCTGAGGTTGAGATGGCAGAATTAGTTAGAGGGAGATTGAGGGGAGATTTTTGAGAGATATATAAGATGATGCATGGTAAATGAAACATATTTTTTGGTTTTTTTTTTTTTTAGTCTATGAAACACTTGTGTTACTCTTATCTGTTAAGCTTAAGTTTAATTATGTTTTTCATGAAAAATGTTATTTGGTTAATGATTACATTTTATTGTAATTGTCAAATTTTGAAAATTAGATGTATATGTATAAGATTGTCCACATTAAAAAATTATGGTAAAAGGAATAGACACGCATTTTGTAGGTTGATCATAGCCATTATGTGTTGAATGAGTACCATTTATGAAAGATTATTTAGGATATGGATGAGCGTATCACATTTCTATTTTTATTTTATTTGTTGTTTATTATTGATTTTTATTATTTTTTAGTGAATTTTTTTATTATGTGATTCTTTATGACTATATTTACTAAATATTTAATCTAATTTGTCAAATTTTAAAATTAATAGAAAAATTCATTATAATGAAGTATGCAATAAGTTGGAAATTTTATGATAAAAAATTATTTTGGTTAAATTTCATTTCATTCCAATAGAAATTATTTTATCCAAACTTCTATTCCAAGACTTAATTCTAATTAACTGTCAAACATTGGAATGGTAATACACATTTCATTTCATTCCCAAGTTTATTCCATTTCCATGTTCATTCTATTCTTATATAAATGCATTACTGCGTACCAAACGTATTGTAATACTACGTACTAAACACAGTGTTAGGGTTTAACTAGATTCATTAGTAAAACAATTTTTTAGTTGCTAGATATTAGATAATAACTGTCACGCCCCAAATTTCATAAAAGCGTGATTAAACCAAATACTTTGTTTATTAAAAAAAAAAAAAAACACATGCCGGTATGTTGTAAAAACATCTAGGAAAGTATCTCTTTAGTTAAAATAAATCAAATTTTTTTTTTGAAAATTTCGGCAGAGTTTCCTTTGAAAATTAGGTTTTCAACCAATTAGTAAGAGTATTTCTGTGAGAGTATAACATAATTTAAATTAATTAAACATCCACAACATGCCTCCATTCAAAAATATAATCCAACTAAATTCGGGGTAACAATTAGAGGCCCACGAATTCCTCCTAAACCCGGATACATCCAGCACCAATATATATCACAACTTAGTACCCAAAGTCATAACTTTATATTACAATACCCAAAATAATAATCCCTCTATGGGATGATCAAGTGTACACCAAAAATGCCTCAAGACAACCTTTTCAAATACAATGCTTGAGTTCTAACATTTCTATATAAGTTCTAAAGGTGAATACAAAAAAACTCTAAAAGAGATTTTTTCTAGTCCAAACTCCCACAAGCATTCCATCACTTATGTCACAGGATGCATGCTAGTCTCTAAAAATATTAGTAAGGGATGAACAACCACATGCTCAGTGGGATAATCATTTTCCCAAGCATTTACAAAGTTTTAAAAACCAACNAATCCTTTTTTCAAGTATTTTTAAAGTTTTAAAAACCAACATTCCACAAATTATATTAATAAGTAATGAAAGCTTTTTATAATTAAATACAGGTACAAGATAATAAATAAAGCATTTATAAAAATCTCCCAACACCTCAATANTATAATTAAATACAGGTACAAGATAATAAATAAAGCATTTATAAAAATCTCCCAACACCTCAATATTAGAAATATACAATGTATAAATTAAAGTCAAACCATCATTGCAAATATCATGCATGCCTCGCATACGGACAATATCATCAATCACACCGGTTCACGCATGAAGCATCCCTAGGGAACCTTTTGGGTCTTACACCCTAGGGTCTCTTCGCCCTTCTTGCTTTTCAAGGGGAACGTGCAGAGCACAACTTGTGATGCCACATAGGCCATCACCGAAAATCACTACCATAACCAATCCCCCTTAGGACTAGTAGTCGTCTTAGCAACCCACTCAATAGGCCCCAACCCTCTACTAACCTCTGCCTGTCAGTATTGAGCATAAATTTTTCAGANAGGACTAGTAGTCGTCTTAGCAACCCACTCAATAGGCCCCAACCCTCTACTAACCTCTGCCTGTTAGTATTGAGCATAAAATTTTCAGAAATCATTATTTTCTATATCCATAAATTCTTTTGAAAACACATGTCATAACTGACATTTTATCAAACATGTGGTAAGCTCAAATCTCAAAAGTTGCATTTCCAAAACAACACAACTATTTCTGAGAGAAAGTAAGTCATATATATTATGTAGAAAATAATAGCATACTTTAAAACTCCCAAATCATAGGTTTAATCAAATACCCATAACTAAAAAATTAGGGCATTTACATTTTCAAGAGAATAAGTCATATTATGTACAAGATCATAACATACTTTAAAACCCTTAAATCATTAGTTTTATCAAATACTCATAACTAAAATCAAACAAGGGTTTCAAACCCATAACACTAAAATCATTTCCTTTTCCAAGAGAATAAGTTATATTTTGTACAAATTTATAATATACTTCAAAACCTCCCAAATCATAAGTTTAATCAAATACTCATAACTAAAATCAAACAAGTATTTGAAACCCACCACACTAAAATCGTTTTTATGCATGTAGGTTCACAAATCCATGACATATTCAACACTATATCAAGGTTTATAACAAGAATTTTGCCATCAACCACATAGTAAGCTTTAACTAAAGAAAATACATGAGATGTACAATGTAAATGCAAGAGAAAGGAAAATTCCACCTAAGAATCAAGAATTTCAAGCCAAATTCCTAAGATTTTCAAGCAAACTCCAAATTTTATGGACCTTCTTCTTCCCATTTCTCTTTCCCTTTATCTTTTCCTAGGGTTCTAAGAGGTTTTGGGTAAGAGTAGAATGAAAAAATGGAAGAAAAGGGGCTGAAATTTGTGTTTTAAACACAGCAGTCTCGAAATCCACTATTTATGGGCTGAAAAATACATTTTTTCTCCAAAATTATGAATTTGCCCATATGACTGCCCTAAAGTTTCTAATTTTGATCCATATGACTGCCCTAAAATTTTTTGACGTTTTGGATTCATTTTTAATGTTATTTTTACTTAAAAATATTTAATTTTATGATTTATCTCAAAATTAAAGTTAATTTACAACTTAAATACTAAAATTACTATTTTATCCCGTTGAACCGCTATATAAGCTAAACGGTTATTTCAAGTTTTTCGGACCTCCTGGATTCAATAGTAATGTTATTTTGATATAAAAATATTAATATACTTATTTACTTACCCTTATCAACCTTACACATCACCAAAAATTAAATTTGACCCAAAATTCAATACGTTCGTACTTCAAACTCACACGACTATTCCTTTAACAACAATTTAAAATTTCTCTCATCATTTTAATTATTTTAAAAATACTAGCAAGTTAATATCATTTATATTTATATAACACATGAGATCTCACAGATTAAGTGACAAATCTCAAGGAGTCTAGGTGTAATTTTCCCTATTTTAAAACAAAGTGCCTGATCAAAAAAAAAAAAGACGAGAGAGAGGGAAAGATTGAGAGAGCAATCAAGAGGTGGAGAGAGAAAGATCGTGAGAGCGATCGAGAGGCAGAGAGAGAAAGATCGCAAGAGCGATCGTGAGATAGAGGGATCATGAGACAGAGCAATCGTGAGATGGATTGTCTCTCTACTTCAATGGTCTTGGATGATCTATTTCTTCAATGGGCTTCCAGTTTTCTAGGGTTTCTTGCAATGGATCTCTACGAGGAAGAAGAAGAGGTGTTTTCTAAAATCTGAAGAAAAACCAACCTAGGGGTTCATCCGAAATTTACAGGTTAGTGTTGCTATTTTTTCCAATTTCAAAAATTTATTTGTTTTACTTTTGCTTGTGTGTTTTTATTGATTTGTGGGTTTGGTGGACTGGTAATTCTTTTCTTCATTTATGTTTTTGCTGATTTACCGTGCATTCTAATCCAAAAAAAAAATAGAGACTTCGCGTATCGTTTGTATCGACTGATACGTATCATATATTTGACGATACTATGTAAAAACGATATAAAACTCCGATTTGTATTGTTTTACTTATGTATCGTGACGTATCATACAATACATATCGTGTATCGTACGATACTAACAACAACGATAAAAAACCACATGCTTTTTCTTATGCTAGACAGGTAATCCGCGCTGGTCATAAAACAGGGCAAGACCAGCCTCACATGGTAGCTTCAAATCCAACGAGAAATCCATTGATCTTCTGGATGACACAGCATGACCAACAAGTCTATCAGCCACTAAATTAGCTTCTCCAAAAATATGGAGCAGACGTAACTCAAGGCATCCTAGAATAGCTTTAATTTGCCTCAAATACCCCAAACAAGGCCAGGGGCATGCAAAAATACCCAAAACAGATTTAACCAAAACAAGAGAATCACAATCAATCACAAAACTATAACAAGATAGCCCATAAGTCATAGTTAGCTGCAAACCATCACACAGCTCTAAACTCCGCAACCATATTTGAACATTCTCCATATAAAAAAGATGCAACTAAAACCAGCTTTCCCCATTCATTTCTCACAACTGCCCAACCTCTTGCCAACCCTGGGTTGTTCTGAGAAGACCCATAAGAATTAATCTTTAGCATGCCCATATGTGGACAAACCCATTTTACCCAAACACATTTCAACAAAACAATACAAGATAACTCAATTTGTAAGAAGCCCAAAAAAGCTTTCCCCACTGTACCATCCAACACCTTTGGCCTAATCTTCCTTACTTGATATCTTAAAATACTACAAATCCTCATAAAAATTGAATGAGAATATTGCCTACCCTCTCCCGTTACTCTTCTACATCTTTCTCTCCACAATTGCCATTAAATAACCAACACAATGCTTCTAATCAAACCATGGCTTAGAGACTTCTTTTCAAAAATTTTGCATAATCTTTGAAACCTCATCATGGGGCTCTCTCCCTGAATAACCTGAAAACCACCAGCAATAGCAAGTTTAAGCCAAATAGCCCTGGCATAAGAGCAATCCACAAACAAATGATTTTCACTCCCCACAGCCTGATAACACAAACAACACCTACTAACAACCGAAATTCCAATCCTAACAAAATTGGAGTCCAAGGGTAAAGCTCTTCTAAAATCTTCCACCCAACAAACTGAGCACTTGGAGCAGTCTTGACTGACCAAAGAAGAGAAAAAGGATCATTCACAGTACCTATTTTCTAATCAAACCCCAAGCAGATTTTACTTAAAACTCCCTAGAAGGAGAGAACTGCCAAATAACCACCCATATCACCTTGAAAAGCATACAATTATCTATAAGTTTCTCAGTGTCAAAAGTCCAAGTATCAATGCACATTAGAAAATAAAAAAGATAAGACAAGTTAGTGTTGAAATTTCAAAAGTAGATGGCGGGAACTGAGCTGGGGTCATGTACCCTCATTCTACTTGGCCATAAATCAAACAGTTGATGGGCAGTGGACAGTGGGCAATACAAATGTTATCACATATCAACACAAATCATAAAGATATGATTGATCTAATATGTAATGAACTCCCATAGTAATCATGAATCAAATAAAAATATTTTTTTTCCAAAATCATTCAACAATCTCTACAAATTTTGTCATAAATATTACCCAAAAACCTCAAAAAAAATTATAGAAACACACAAGAAATCAAACAAAAAATAGAATTGTTGTTTTGCGACAATAGACCTGTGAAATAGAAGCTATAAAATCACTTAAAATGAAGAGGTTGTACCTTTACTACAGTGGATCTTGATCAACAATAAACCAAAGATCCATGACAGAGGAGGCTACTTTTGGCGTTGTTGATAGTAATAAACTCTCGAGCGTCGTCGACGGTTGTCGTCGGTGATCGGCGAGGATAATTGGTGTCGTCTGTGGATGTCGGGGAGGCAGGGGATGTTGATCGTGAAAAAAAAAGTGTTTTATCGAAAGAAAAAGTTTTTTTTTTTTTGACTTCTATTTATTAACTTATTTAATTGTTTACTTATTTAAAAGTNTTTTTGACTTCTATTTATTAACTTATTTAATTGTTAAAATTACTTTTACTTATTTAAAAGTGTTTTTAAGAAGTTATCCCAAACACTATTTTTTTTTTTTTTTAAAAAAAAAGGACTTATGATAAGTCAAAAACTCTAAAAATATTTTTTTTAAGTCATTCCAAACACACTCTTAGTTTGTCGCTACAAATAATTGATTTTTCCACAAGAGTCCTTGTGAACATTTTCTTGGTGCAGCAAGGTGACTTCGAACATGTTCATCCAACTGCATTCGAAGATCCAGAGATGGTGCATTGTTGCATTATATTTTCCATTTTTAATTCATTTTATGTATTTTCTTTTTCTTTTTCTTTTTCTTTTTGGTAAATTTCAACCCCACATTATTATATCAATAAATAAATTTCATTCGTTTTCAAGTTGAGATGCATGCAAATCTGTAGATGTTGAGAAAAAAGAAGTGGGGGCTGATCTTGAAATCATAATTATTTGCAAAATTCTGTAATGGTTGAATCATTGAAAGAAAGTATTTGACTTGGAGTGTGACATTTGTTTGTAGGAAAATAATTATGGAGTGGGAACTTACATTTCATAATATTAGTAAAATCCCTCTCTTAAGTGTGTCAACAAAGGTTGTGGTCTTCTTGACTGCTTTGCACTGCCCTTGGGGCCTTCTTCTTCTTTTTTTTTCATTGGTAAAAAAAAAAATAATTAACCCATCGATTGCTCAACATAAAGTGTAGTGTTACTAGGACTCAACATAAAGTGTAGTGTTACTTGGACTTAATTTGGTAACTAAATTACTCCGTATTGTTAAATTAATAGTGGGCTCCATTATTAGTTGAGACCCTCTATCAATTCGAAGTCTATGATGCATTAGATCAACAAATAAGATCAAACAATTATATACAAATAGCATTTTTCTAATATAAATTATGTCTAAAAAATAATTCTACAATAATACCAACAACATGTGATAGACGAAAAATTCCTAAATTCTACAGCTCATTTAGCCAGCTTCTAGTGGCAGCCTAGACCAACTCCACCAAACAAAATATCTTCCCATAACAAAACATTAAATAATATTTGGTAAATAAAATGAAAAAAAAGGAAATAATTCAATTAGTGCATTGTTTCATTTAGAAAACCACTAGACTTATTAAAATTTTCATTAGTAAAATTAAGTTATATTCTTAATAATTTATTTTGAATTAGTTTAAGATTATGTCAATCAGATACTATGTTCCAGGTTAATTTAAGTCTCTGTCAATCATATAATTTACACGAATTTTACTAATTATTTGTCGTTAGAATGTTCACAAGGACTCTTGTGGAAAAATCAATTAAACTGTTTCCATTTGAGTTCACCGGCCAAAAGCCATAAAGAGTATTGTATACAAGTTATTGATTGTTGTGGGCACAAGCTAGGCGTTGAGGTTTGAACAAATAGAAAAACATCGTAGGTAGGGCTATGTTGGTGTAGTTGTAGATGTAGGTGTAGGCGTAGATGTATGACATGAAGGAAGTGTATCAAAAGTAGAGCGAAAATAGTTAAGATACAAGGGTAGCCCAATACAATTTGAGACCAAAAAACAAGAATTTGATATGAGAGCTCAATTAATATCTTAGGAAGATAATAAATTTTTTTATGATTATTAAATATTTTATAGAGAGTTGCGATATGATTTAATTTCGACGTTTCAGTGATTTTGAAATTAGGCGTGATCAAACAATAAATTTGGTGCAATTGTGAAGTCAAGATCTCACAATGAATAAATTGATTGGGGTCTTAACTTGAGAGAGCAAGAGACATAGAGATAAGGATAAAAAGACAAAGCAAGACAATGAGAGTGGGAGGGAGAGAAATAATNGAATAAATTGATTGGGGTCTTAACTAGAGAGAGCAAGAGACATAGAGATAAGGATAAAAAGACAAAACAAGACAATGAGAGTGGGAGGGAGGGAAATACTTGAAAAGAGGTCGTAAGAGTAGAGGAAAAGAGAGTTAAAGGAATTTGACAGAGGTTGTTACTTTTAAAGCTAAGAAGTTGTTTCACATAGACTTGTAAAAATATTGTTACATTTTAAGATTTTATAGAAAGTTTTACACTTGTGAAATACGTTGGGGCCTCAGAAAACAAACATTAAGACTAAAAGTAAACGACTTTTAGCTTTTGGGTAAAGTTAACATATTTTTGGTAAAGGTCCAATGTATTTCACATTTTGTGTTTAGCTTATAATCTGAGTTTTTCTCTGCACGGTTTCATTTGAGAAAATATAAAAAGAGTTAACTCTTTAATTTTGATTCAAAAGATGGGCAAAATTACATCTTCAATAAGTTATTGCATTACTAAATTTCCTGAGTTTATGGTACCTTTGTTGATTGATTTTTAAAGTTTCAATTACACTAATAGGTTATGCGATTACTTATCTTGTCGACATTATCTATAGCTTAGGAATTTATGTTCTTGTAAGTGGTTTAAGATTTGATGTTGGTGGCTCTGTTAATATGTGTCTTTCTAACTTTTTGTTCCAATTACACAATCATTTGTTTTGTATGTGCTTATTGCATTGCTTCATTAGTTATGTTGATAGGCATCATATTGGCACATGAATTATGCTGTTTGTGTGCCCCTAAAACCGGGGTCCTCTATCACCCGTTGACCATCCGTCAACCCGCCAAAATTCCCGTAATTGTTGCACAATCCGACATCACGTCAATCGCATTCCTTTAGCCGGGATCGTAACCCATATGTGCAACCCGTGTAAATTATACCACTTGACCCCAACGAAGGTCCAAAGTACCACAATTTATATTCCATTATTGTCAATTTACATCATTTAAATAAAATGACACATAGCCCAAAAACATAGCAAAACATTCTTAAAATTTCTGATTTTTGAAAAACCTACTTGAAGGTTTTGCCCTCTGGAGAATTTCTTCCGGAAGGTTTTGTCCAACCTTTCAAAAAATTTCTTTCTGAGAGGGTGATACAAATTTTGGAGGACATGTTACGAGCTTGTGTGTTGGACTTCAAGGGAAGTTGGAGTGATCATTTGCCGTTGGTGGAATTTGAATATAAAAATAGTTTTAAATCTAGCATTGGCATGACACCTTATAAGGCATTGTATGAGAGACCATGTAGGTTCCCGACTTGTTGGTTAGAAGCTGGAGAGAGTAGTCTGTTTGAGCTAGAAATCTTTCGGGAGACTACTGAGAAAATTTAACTAATGAGGAAAAGACTACACACGGCACAAAGTAGACAGAAAAGCTATACGGATAGAAGAAGAAGACCATTGAA